CGGGTATGCCGAGAGTGCGTATAATGCAGCGATATATAGCGCCGGCGGGGCGGGAAAAAAGAAACGGGCGCGATGCGGGGCGAATTATCGGGGCTGAAGAATTCCCTGTTAATTCGCGCGCGCGCCGTATCGCGCACGGAGAGGAGAGAGACGGTCTTACTGGAATAGGTCCGATATCAACTCACCCCGCTGTTTAATTCGTTCTGGATATCCGGGAGGCATTAACTCCCGGCGCGCATAATCGCGGGCACAAATCACCGTGAGCAATAACGCGCTCCGTCTGCGGTTTTTATCGCACACCGTGATTCACATGTATGCATGTACGAAAGGCGACGGCGTCGGGATTCTTTTCGTGCGGAACGCTCGTCAAGTAAACACGTATACAGGGTTTATCAAAAGAGTGGGATATCTTGAAGACGTAGCGATTGATGAAAAGATGGTTCGGACAACAGTTGTTGAAGGGTGATAGAAGGGTGGTGTTGTTAACTGAAGGTGAAGGTGGTGAAAGTTAACTTCGTAGCATAGTCGATAATTCAAGGTCATTCCAAGGTCATTCCAGGCCAACCTTAATTTTTTCATGGATCATGCAGTTTTTTTTTTTAATACATATTTGTTTTTAACACAATTCTCCTCTAAACCCCACCTTTCCGGATCAATTTCCTCCGAATTGCCCCGTCTTCGGGATATTCCACTGTTTCCGCGATTTTTGATCAATCCTGTACATTCCGATGCTCACCGACGGTGATGCGCGCACGGAGTGGTATTAGCCCGGCACACGTGGGACATCCGTGCCGTGCAAAATTCAGATTCGCTGAAAATTGCCTGCGAATCTCGCACGGAACGGCTCCGCCGGTACATCGACAGCCGTTGTCTGTCAATTTAAGCTCGCGTTAAGACGTGATCGTGTCAGCCGCTGCGCTCTCTCGAGCTTTCTCGCTTTCGCTCTCGAGCGAAGCCCCCGTTCGCTCTTCTTCAGTTACAGTCGAGAAACGTAACATTGAACTGCCGTAAATCCATGGATTCGATGAATTCGTATTCATGCGTGTTGTTACGCGGGCACAATTTCAGGGCAGAAATCCGCGCGTGTACGTGTGTAAACGTACGCGCAAAGGCGGCGATCGGTAGCTCCGAGTCATTCCGTGTACGTTCTCGCGAGTTAAACAACTCCGATCGGAAATTAGGTCGGTGTTTACTTCGGCGACCAGCCGGCGTATGCGCGTTCGTATTACGCTCATGAGATTCGCAGCTAATACCGCGTCCGTACATCCAGATTTGCGCGTTTAATGCATACCTGACACTCACTGCGTAAATCACATTCTCGTAAAACGAGAGCAATCTCCCCGCGTAAAATACAGCCCGTTTCTTGTCCCGCCCGCGCGTTTCTCGCCCGCGGTGTATCGATTTATGCGAATTTACCGTTTACACGGTAGTGTTCGAGGACGGGCGATGCGGCAAAGCATGCGAGACGCGGGAGCTTATACGATACTCTGTCGCAGTATCTCAAGCATCTCCACCGCGGAACTACGCATCCGCTGGAACATTACGCGCATTCTAACAGATATAATAGCGGAGCGAGATGCTTCCTAATGAAATTCATTTCCCGAATAGCGCTCGAACGACGTGTAAAAGCATGCCGCGGACATACGGCCTGTAAACCTCTTAAGTCAGCGCGCGGAAACGCATTGTAACGCGTAAAGCTCCGCTCACTCTCTCTCTCTCTCTCTCCCTCTCTCTCTCTTCCACGGCTAAGTTTAACTTAGAACGAGCGAAACTTTCGCCGTAACTCGGAAACCCGGAAGCTTCTGTCAAGCATTTTTGAGCGGGCTTTGTATCCCGCGAGAGAAAAGAAGGGAGAAACCGCGAGGAATGCAAATTTTCCCCGGAGGTTGCTAATTTCCATTTAATTCGAATACAGAAACGTCTCCCGATACACGTCGATATTACACCCAGCGAGCAGCAATTTGCAAGAAAGATATCGAGATGCGACTTTTTCATTTGAACATTTTTAGACTTAAGATCTATTTGAATGCGTGGAAATATGAAATATTCCGCAACTCCGGTGTCTGCTTTTTCAGTTCCTTCCAATTTCTACTTCCCCGGAGCGCGATTATTTCTGTGATATCGCCCGAGGAAACTGCCAGCAGCATTAAACCGAACGCGAAACAATGCATGTAACTCGACGAGCACGCGTACATTTAATGATATCGGAATAATAATATTTGAAGGATGCTGTTCAGGCGCAACTAATGTTGCGTTTCTCTCGAACGTTCTCCGCAATAACGCGCCACGTAAAGCGGAACGTTGGGGTCGCAATGTTACGGCTGTCGCCCCGGCAATTCTGCCCGAGAGGTACCGAGATATTTCGCTCTTGCATCTCATAACGATCTCTCGTCTCGGTGAGCGACGAGGCCGGTCGGCGTGATTTATCGCCCGAACGGCCATCCGGATTTTAATCAGTTCCTTCCCCGACCACCTCCCCCCCCCCCC